GTAAATTAGTGATAAATATACATGAATAAGTATGCATAAGTATGATATGTCTTAAGGAAGGTTGATGATACGAACTTTTTTTCAAAAACCATAAAAATATTTCTTTTTTTATATAAATGCAAAATACATACGTTAAATATATTAATAAAAATTCCACAAAACTGTTGAATTAAGTGTTGAAAAAAATATTAAGATTGATAAGGCTGATTGCAGAAAGGTTGAATTCTGAACATCAAAGAAAGTTTAACATTTCCCAGCTTGTTTATATTAAAGGTGTTTCTGTAATACTGGGACAGTTAGAACACCAGTGATATACAGTCTCTCTAGGGCAGGCTTCCGACAGAAAGTTACTCCGCAATGCTTCATCATCCATTTGTCTATAGAAATATAGTAAGATCAGTGCATCCAAACATGATATGACTTTACCTTAAAGAACAAAGTCTGTCAATGTTCATTCATAGGGATACTCCTTCAGTTTGTCCTATGCAGGTGAAAGAAAACACAAAGACATGCTAAGCCGTACAGTAAAACATGCATGACGCCTGTTGAAAAGTTTGAAGAGAACGAGCATTGGTCGATCTCAAAAAATCCAAAAAGAATGCAATTTTGTAAGTAGGAAAAAAACCACAGACCCCCTACAATTTTAGAGGTTGGATCAGTTAAAATTCCTAGAAGGAAAAAAATCTACTGTCACCAGCCAGACGAACAGTTAGGAAGACGGGACGTTCCACAGTCAAATTCAATATGATTACAAAGGCCTAATAAAATATCGGTAAGAAACAACTCAAGCGAAATATGACACAATAATAGAGTAGTTTTGTGTTCAAGGTCATTATTACGATTAAAGAATGTACAAAACGTCGACTTTAAACTAGGTTATTGAAATCCAGGATAAAATCACTTTATCCGCCTGTCTCGGTTTAAAACCTGATGGATAACAGAGCATGATATTGAATGGTAAATAGGTTTGAAGACATGAAAAACCTTAGGCAGGTGATAACAGAATTTCAATACATAAATAAGGCAAGCTGACCTTGGATAAATGGAATTCCATCTTGTTTGTCTTACAGTTTAGTTGTGAACTGCCTCTTGTTGTTTATACTCAGTAAAGATATATAATAAATCTTGCATCCTCCGTGTTGTTTTTAATTTTACAAAATGCCAATTTTCATTTTTCTAAAAGTTCTTGGAGTTTTGAGATCCAACATCTTTTAGAGCATGCAGTTGCACAAAACTTCTAAGGTTTCTCCTCCAGAAGTAGTTTATATTTATGTAAGGATTAGGAATTGGGTCTTAGTAAGCATTTGTTGTACTATGTAATGTATCTCTGTAAGGATATTTATTCAGTGTAGGAGTCCAGTAATGATTATGATATAGAATATATAAAACTTGCCTTGGTTGACATGAATATTAAAATTTCTAAATACTGAAATGTGATTCTGAAAAAATAAATGTTTAGAAAGTGAACTGCAGATATAAGACTTCAAAATGTAGGAATAAAACCGAAGTTATAATACAGTTGTAATAATAATCGTTGCAAATAAAGACGCTGCCATTACAAGTCTTGTTGTTTGGAACCATAACAATTTGTTGATGTGATCTTTCTTATTCTTGGATCAGCTCCGGTTTAGTGAAAACGGGACTGAGGATGGAAAGAAAAATTGTTTTACGTTAAGTATTTGTTAATCCAGACCTACTCTAAACATTCAATGAGCAATGGCTTTACTAAAGTGTTTAACAGTTTTTACTACTTTACTACTGTCTTATTGTTTATATAAGAAACTTTGGAGAATTATCAGAGAGCAGATAGGAAGCAAAATATTAAGCTGGTACATGTAAAGAAATATACAACAAAAACGGATATTTTAACGAATGTACACCATTTATTCTTGATGTTTGGGATAGAGCTGAAGTTTTCGGTGGATGTAAAAATTTATAAAAATTTGGACTGGCAAGTTCCCATCCTGAAAATAAATGTATAGATAACAAATAGATAACAAAAAGCATTTGGGCAAGCCCAGGTAGTTACAAAACTTTCCAGCTATAACGGAGATCTAAATATGACATCAGCTGTAGCATACCACTTTTTCATTTATTTGTAAGATCATAATTAAAACACTGAATTGTAGACACGGATTTTTTGTTATTTCCCAATCACACAAGGAGCACATGGTTTGACCGGTCGGCAAGGGATGCTCACATGTCACCTGATCCCACCTCTGATTATTTGGTGGTCCGTGTTTGCTCTGCTCCTATTTTGTATTGTTTTATGGAATTTTGAGAATAACAACTGTTTGTTATCTCTTTATATTTTAAGATAAACATGGCAAACAATCGAAAGATGTGCAATATAAAATTCTATCTCAACCGAAAGTGAAGATTTTTATCTATTTGTCAAGGCGGGGAGCGGGGTTGAAGGAAGATAGAGAACAGCATATCATACCCTATTTTTCGTATATTCTAAATTTACGTCTTATTCTTAAAATCTCTTATCCAAAAACAAAACAATTACATGTCCATTAATAATCTAGCTTGATATATAAACCCCCGTTTTTTCATTAAAGGACAGTTAAAATCTGATAATATCTTCTATATTTATTTCGACCTTTATAAAATTGAATAGAAAAAGTTTGTTAATTGATCTGAAACAAATTTCTTTAAGTATTTTTTTCTCTTAGACATGAGATTTTGTTTTGCTTTGTATATAAATAACCATACAAAATTTTGTTTTTTACAATTTTTTAACCTTATGACAAAATCAACCGGACTTATATAAAAAAATTCTCCCGATGGCAGTCTACTCAAATGGTTAACATTATTTAAGATGTCAATTAAACTGTAAATTTTCCCTTCAAAAATAAAGCTGATTTCGGAAAAAATATATACTTTGTTGTTATTTTCATCCATTTGATTTCGATTATGGTTTATCTATATTTCTGTTGTTTCGCAAACCTAACACATTATTTTGTGTTACAGATAGCCTTTAATTGACATATTTGACATACATATGGTTGACACAGAAATTATGTTTGTCAGGTAGCTATAAAACACCTGTCACATGACAACAGAAGTCACCTAAAAACTACAGCAATATGTTCTTTATACTTCAACAGAAACACCTAAAAATTGAGTATGTATTTTTGAAAGTTATTTTAAAATATATATGACAACGCATAAATTTCCTTTCTCTCTATTTTTTCTCTCTCTCTTTGCAAAAACATCTGTATAAATTAAAAAAAAAACAACAACAAAAAAAACGTTTTTGAAAGTTGACTGATATGCTTATTCCAAAGCCCATCAGTATCATTATTTTACTCGGCCACCAGATACTATTCATTATATGGCTCTATATATTTCACAAAACAAGGGGACAACTGCCTGATGGCAGTACTAGATATTTATCTGGCGGCTGCTATCAAATGTTGTCTGCCACTGATTTTAAGCGCGCGCATGTTTTAACGTTTCATTTCATGCAATGGAAAAAAACTTCTTTTCACAAATAAATCACACTTCTAGTCCCTCATTAATATATATATATATGTATTGAGATGTTGCCGCTAAGATTCTCATCAGGGGTAATTCCATTTGCATTTCGGTTATGCTTTATATATTTCGATTGTTGTTTTTATATTTTGCAATTTTTTACAGATAGCCTTTAATATTGACATACAAATGGTTTTTTATCAGAAATTTTGTTTGTCAGGTAAGCAACGGATGTCACGTGACAACAAGCTACCAAAGAAGAAATACAAACCACCTTTTGCAAAATAATTTATGTGGCGCTGAAATACTTCAACAGCCATATACACCTGAAACTATTTTTTTGAGTATGTATCTATTCCAATAGGATTCATTTATAATATTACAACGTATATATTTATTTTTTATCTCTCTCTCTCTCTCTCTCTCTCTCTCTCTCTCTCTCTCTCTCTCTCTCTCTCTCACACACACACATTGGCTTTATGACCTGATCACAAATACCAGCTATAATCCCTGGAATATTTAACACAGGATATGGAAATAACAATTGTATTAGACTGCATAGTCCATATATATGTATAAAAATTAGGATTTAATATTATATATAAATTATTAATACAGCGCCAAGAATTTTTTTGTTTTGTTTGTTTTTTCTATTAAAATAGAAATTGGTGTAAAAGTAATTAAATATGCTTGGATATATCAATAGATGCAATAATGTACAAATCCTTTTTTTGTATTTTTAAATAATATTTCTACAAAAATATCCTTAATGATTCAAAAAAGTCGGAGTAATTTCCTTTACATTAATGCAGCTGTAGTACTACCATAAAACAGGAATATATACACATACTTCAAAAATAACAAATATGAATTGCTTCTTTATTTTAGTTATCTTGATATTTTTCAGATATAACAACAATGTAGGAAAAGAAATGGCCACTGCCACTAGCCAGGCACAGGAACTCATAACCTGTGACCTTTGTGTCAAACCTGTACAGCAATTCTGTAACAGCTGCCAAGTCGGTCTGTGTAAAGACTGCATCAACAAACAGCCTCAAGTCCATGAAACATGACATTGTTCCTTTCACAAAGCGTACAGTACAGCTTGTGTTCCCTCAGTGTACATCTCATTCCCACCAGAGATGTGAGGCCCACTGTCAACAGTGTGATGTCCCGGTCTGCATCAAATGTCTCACTGGTCAACATAAAGGTCATGTTTTTGAGGACATGGATAAAATCATAGCTTTGAAGAGAGAAAAAATTAAACAAGAAACTGGAGAAATTGAGGGCATTATCCTGAAGAACACAACACAGGACTCAGACATTGAAAACCAAATTTCCAAATCCATGGCCCATTTTACAGATTTACAGAAACAGAACAATGATCAAAGAAAGAAATGGCACCTAGAGGTGGACAACATCTTTAACAAACTCGAATCACTCATCCAGTCATTCAAAATCATCAAATTACAACTCTAAAATCATCCCAGTCAAAACTCAGAAGTCAGAATTCTAGTATGATCAAAACTGTTCAAGAAAACAAAAAAATCCTTAAGTCCAACAAAGTGTCTGGTGTCAACAACTACCAATCTAAACTGAAGGAATACAGAAACATTCCACAAATACCTGATTTATCATTGCCCTCTCTTCAAACAAACACAGTCCTAGGGAGAGAACTCAGTATAGAATTAGGAGAATACAAGGCTACACTGACACAAACATCACTATCCAGTCTGACAGATTTATCTGTTAAAGAATTATTAGAAGAAGCCAGATTGATTGCCAACATTCCAACAAATGTTAAAAACTTACTTAAAATTGTTTGTGTAGGATCAGCTGAAGTTTGGGTCAATGGAACAGACAAAATGATATGCTGTGTGGACATACACGGAGCTGTACAAGACACTGTCACCAGTACATGTAATCGATTCCCTAATGACATTACAGTGACCAGAGAGGAAGAACTGTTATACAGTGATGCTATCAATAGAACTGTGAATATAGTCAGAGATGGGAAGACAAAGACACTGATCACCATACCAAGGGGCTGGCATCCCAGAGGACTGTGCTGTACCAGGTCAGGGGACATCCTAGTTAGTATGAATAGTACTGACAAAATTTGTTATAAAATAGTCTGTTATCAGGGACAGAGGGTGACACAGGAAATAGAAAAAGATGAACGTGGTGATCCAATCTATCAAGGAGGTGAATACGGAGTGTATGTGGTGGAGAACAACAATGGAGATATAGTGGCATCTGATCGTAATGCTTTCAAAGTGGTAGTAGTGGACAGGACAGGAAAAGTCAGATTCAGATACAACGACAAACCTCCAGGGGGAGAGAGATCATTTGGTCCCACACACATAGTGACAGACTCCATGGGTCACATCATTGTGACTGATTGTCAAAATGACTGTTTACACATCCTAGATCAGAATGGACAGTTCCTCAGATGTGTGGATAATTGTGGGCTTGAGGATCCTTATGGACTGAGTGTGGACAGTGAGGGGAAATTGTGGGTAGGGTTGTTTTTTTCAGGGGAAATGAAAGTCATTAAGTACATGAAATAAACACCAAATATTTACTGTTTACTTACTAAATTTTCTTAGCATGTGTTTATCAAAGAAATTATAATTACAATTTTCAAATAATTTTTATATATTGTATAACGAAGGAATGCCACACCAACTTTTTTTTAATTTTATAGATCTATGAAATCAACCTTTTTATATATTGATTTCAACATTGAAAGGCCATTAGCTCTTGATTTTTTATGATTTTTTTTTTGGTATTTTCTCGAAGAAAATTAAAAAAAAATTATTTACATCCTAGATGCTTTCTTGTAAATGAATACATCACTTAAATTCCTAACAAAATATGTAAATTAAAGCTGTAAAGATATTAAATTTTTTTAAAATAAAAAACAAAGCACACGCTTGCCTATCTACCAGATTTATACATTTTACACAATAATATCCACAGGCACCTGACATTACTTATTTCTCTTTTAATAAAAAAAGAATACCCTTGCCTAATGATAAGCTTATTATTAGGTATGTGTATTTTTTTATTAAAAGAAAAAAAAGTAACGTCAGGTGTCTGTGCTAATATCAGATGCAGTTTATGTGTAAAAATCTCAGATAGGTAAGCTTGTGCTCAATGTTTTCCTATGAGAAATGTATTTCAAATGTGATGAAATTCCACCAGAATTGGGAAATTCTGGAAAAAGTCCGACTTCTGCACCCTCTAGTGGCTTCCATATTTGCTGCAGATATGTAGTGTTATGGTTTTATATATTGTCTTTGACCATAACGCTACAGATCACGTAATGCAAAAAAAAATGCAAATTTACTTATTGTATAATGTATTTATGTCTGTCTGCCTACCCTCATAATAAGAAATAGAACAACTCCTCCATAAAGATAAAATAGGTCATTTATGAATATAAATGAAAATAAACAAATAAAATATACATGAAAGCCTGTTGCATGAAATACACAGTATGCTCAATCAAAAAGCATGCAACTAGGCTAAAAATACAATATTACATGAACATATTCTGCATCTGCTAAATAAATTATGTACAACATGGAAATGTATTTGTTTAAGTAAAAAAGTAAAAAATACTTGTAGTAGTAGATTAATGGGACTAGAAAAAACAATAACATTACATAATGCAAAATATGTTATGGGGCGTTACATCGCCACCTTAACAAGGTAGTCAAAATTTGCTGAGTCAATGGTAGCGCAAATATTGGCTAGCTTGTTAACGCCCCATCCAACAAAACCCATCCTACAAATTGAAGAAATGTGGTGAGACATGCGACTTTAACACACTTAAAATGCCTCCATTATTGCTTAGCACCCTAATACAATGATATGTACAATTAGAACACTAGCTAATCCTAACATGACAACTACTTGACTTACAGCCCCTGACTGTTAAGCCAATGACTCACCTTCCAACCCCTGACCGGAGGGTAACAAGAATGAACTTGGGTAAAAAAGGAAAAACCAAATCAAAAATTAGCATGCAACCCCTGTTTGCATGACATGACTTAACATTAAGAGGGTTACATTTCAATAAGAGAGCAGGGTGAGGACTCACAAATTGAGTGTAGGAATGCGAATGCACTTTTTGAATGCATTTGAACGCCATCTACCCATATTTTGGATCTGAATTTCTGAGAACCCCAGCGAAGTAGCATTGTTGCTGCACCTATTCGAAAACTGTGGGACTGGTACCGTTGCAAATCCAGATTGCAAAAAACTAAGGCTGTGCGTAAATGGTGCGAATTATATTTGGATTAGCATTTTGAAAGTATTTCACAGATTTTTTTTTAGTAACCAAGGCAACATCATTCATCGAAATCAAACTCTGATACACAGAATTATGTATCTTAGTGTAGTCTACTTGTGTGCCAAGTTATATTGAAATCAGACGAAAACTGTGGGAGGAGTAGCATTTTCAAAGAAATTTTTTTCTAGAACTTTCTATTTTTAGTAACCACGGCAACACTGTTTATCAAAAACCAATACACAAAATTATGTATCTTAGTGTAGTCAACTTAAGTGTGCCAAGTTATATTGAAATCAAACCAAAACTGTAGGAGGAGTAGCATTTTGAAAAAAATGTTCTACTTGGCAAATCTATAAAGGAGCAAGTAAAATTGATGCAAAGCATCAAATCGGAAATTAAATAGATTTTAATGCATTTGCTCACCCACTGGATTTATCGATGTAAAAACGTCAATGATTAATATGAGAAATTATTGTCATCAAAATGGAGACAAAATGGACAATTTAGTTATACAAAATGTGAAAGATTTTAAATACTTAGGCGTTGTATTCTCACGTACTGGTTCTTTTCGTAAAACAAAAAACATCTGTATGAACAAGCACATGTACGGCATTATCAGAAAAATCAGACAATTTAAATTATCAGTCGACTGCCAATTTGATCTCTTTGATAAAGTTGTTATGCCAGTTTTATTCTATGGCTCTGAAGTATGGGGTTATGAAAATCTAGATGTTATTGAACGTTTACATTTGAAATTCTTAAAGCATGTATTTAATTTAAAAAGTTCCACGCCATCATATATGGTTTATGGTGAAACAGGTCGTTTTCCTCTTTATATTTCAATATACAGTAGAATGATTTCTTACTGGGCAAAACTTTTTTTCCGGCCCGCAAAATAAAATTGTAAATGTGTTATACAAATATACACTAAAACTTTATTGATGGAAATCTAACAAATCCTTGGTTAAACTTTATACAGAAAATCTGTAACATGTGTGGCTTATCAAATGTATGGAACCTACAAGGTGCTAGTATTAATTATGAATGGATAAGTGCTACTGTTAAGCAAATACTACAAGATCAATTTATTCAAAGTTGGTTCAGTGATATAAATAATTCTTCAAAAGGACAAAATTACAGAATCAGAAACAAAACTTTGGATTCGAAAACTATCTTTGTAAATTATCGCCTAAATTTAGAAAAAATTATATTAAAATTTCGCACCACAAACCATCATTTACCAGTAGAAACTGGAAGGTGGTGTGGTATACCACTGAAAGACTTTGCACACTTTGTAGTAAAGGTCAAATTGCTGATGAATTTCACTATATTCTAGAATGCAAAGCTTTGGAAAATGAAAGGAAAAAAATTCCAAGGTAAACATTATTCTAGTAGACCGAATATTATTAAATTTACAGAACTTATGTCAACTAAAAACAAACAAATTCTGAAAAAAATAATGTATGTTTATTCTAAAAATTTATGACTCTACCTGCTCTCTTTATATGATACTTATTGCCTGTTTCTCTCTCGTTTTCATTTTTTGTCATTTTGTAACATATTCTGTATTGTATATATTATATTTTTTGTACCTCTGACCAGTTTGTATAAAATGTATATATGTTTTACTGTACCCCATGTACCAATATTTTGGTTTTTCTTTAGGTCTTCTAGTTGTATAACTGGAAAAGATTGCATTTTCTGACATATTTGAACATCCTTTAACCATTTGTATATCTCCACACATTTATTGAGCCAACTATATATTACGTCAGTATTTTTTGAGATAAAATCCATATTCTAATGCCAATGGTTTGGCTTTATTGAATGTTGACAAATTGTGGCGTTGCTTACTTTTTCGGAAATAAATAATATGTCAAATCATGGTGTGAAGAAAATTTGATATGGTAAATAGAAAGATTAATTATTTCTTATCTCACAATTAAATTAGAAATATGAGGTAAATATAAAAATAAAATTTACTCTCATACCTATCTAATTCCCATCATGAAAAACATACTGAAGCACTGCTTTTTAAATCAGAATAACAAATTGTTTTCTGTGCATGTAAAATAACACGCATCTATAAACAAGAGTTATTGTTCCATTATCGCCCTTGAAAATATTTTTAATGAAACAAAATATTAATTAAATGTTTATAAACAAAACTGCATCTGAAATTTATGTACAATTAAAAGAATTATACTTTAAGAGCTAGAGATTTCTCAATTTACACTGTTTAAAGGAACTGAGAGTAATTTTTTAAGTAAACTATTATAAATAATTAATAAATATACTAGCAATAGAAACTAGAAATCAACATTTGTACGATAGAATACGTGTGATTGCGTTCACTTTAAAATGGTCCTTACGAAGGAAACTTGTAGACCCTGACATGACAATTTACTGAATTTCATGACAAAATGTCTGAAGAAAGTTATCTCTCTTATGAGAAGAGTTATCTCACTTATCAGATGGATATCCCACCTTAAAGCATGCATGGCTCAAAGTTCATAATTTACTTTTAATACTCATGCTTACTGATTAAGAAACCGTTTTTCCGACACATTTCAATCCTTTTTATACATATTTTGCAATGTTAAAGTCAATCAGAACCTATCTTTTGTTTGCCCAATATTGAACAAATATTCCAGCTAGGCTACATCAGAAAATTTTGTTTTAAACATTTTAAACATCGGACACTCCTCTTTTGTTCCAAAAAGTTCTTATAATTTCTTTTTTTTTAAATGAAAGATAAATGTTGGTATTCCAAGTCCTTTGTTAAAGGTTTAGAGAAAAAAACTCTTAAAATGTTTATGGCATGCATGCTATGGTTTCTTTAAAAAGGGACATTTACTTATTTTCCTTATAATGGAGAATAATGTTTATCTGAAATATGATATGTCATGTACATTCACTTATTCTTTGAAATCTTACAACTATTCAACTTTATACACAAGTATTACACACGATAAATTAAAGTGCAGGCTTTTTGATATCATCGACAGCTTCTTTTCAAATTAAAATGGAACTCGTAAATGTACTTACCTGTTCATTGGTCATGTACAAAATTACTTTTTTAAAACACGTTCTGATTGCACAAACAAATACTATGAAGTTGACATAAAAGAGATGCTTGAATTTCTGATTGACAATATCTATGTGGTTTTTGGGAACCTGTATTCCTACAATCTATTGGAATTCTCATGGGTACAAATTTCCCTCCGTTATAAGCAGACCTATTTTCATATTCATATGAAGTAAAATTTG